TAGCAGGGTTATTCAAGTCATTTGTGGTGAACTCATTTCTCCAGTCGATGTCGCCATAGTTAAAGTATCCCATGATAAGGAGGTGGCTAGGGTTGAGCATTGCCTCATTGTCTATTAAGGCTCTTAAGTTCCTTTGATTTAATGGGCCACAGTTTGGGGATCTGTAGATACATCCGACGATAAGTAAGTCCCTTCCCTTTAATTTAATTTTACACCATTTGGACTATTCTAAAACATCCTCTCCCTGTACCCTCTCCTGGCTGGCTCTAAGGTCTTGCCTAGCGTAGATAACCACACCCCTCTTGCAAGTTTCTTGAGAAAGGTTCGTAAATAAGTCATATCCAGCAATACTGAACTCGCATTCCTCTGGGTCGATTCCCCTGTTCTTGCACAGCAGTTCTACAACTCCTATAATATCTGGTTGGTGTACCTTCAGTAGTGTTTCAAACTCTTCTCTCTTATCAAGGATCGTGTCAGTATTAGTGTACATGACATTCAAGCCAGAATTTGTTCTCGATAACGTCTCTGCTCTTAGTAGTAAAACCCCCCCCCCATCCTCAGAAGCTGCAGCATTTGCTAAGTACACTGTATTTTGCAGGGTGTGGTTAGAAATGTTATTGTTTACACGGCGCTCGCCTCCTCCAGGCTGGTAGGCGGAGCTGGTGCCACCTCCCGGGTGGAAGGTGCGCTGCTGCCCCCTCCCCCTGTGTCGGCACACTTGCTTCAACTACCCTCTCCCTGAATATAACTCATGTACACCCGTCCCCGTTCCTCCTCGACTCTTCCCTTCTCTGCTTCAAGCCCTGCAGGAACTTCTTGTGCTGTTCCCTCTGCACGCTCCTTACTAAGTTGTTTGCCTGCCGAATAACCTCACATTTCTCCTCCCTCACTCACACTAGTGCAGGGGTGTCAAACTCATTTGCCAAGGCGGGCCAGATTTAATCTGAGTACACAGTATGCGGGCCAAGTAACATAGTTATGAGCACTTCGCAATCACCTCTTAGGTGAGTAGTACGACAAAATAAAAAAGGTGGATTTAGTCTGCGCTCGTGCGAAACACTTAAAAACAAACAAATCAAGTGTTTACTTTCCTTGATCAATCTTATTGTTTGCTACTGTTGCTTTCTGATAATTGGCACCTCTTGGTATGGACCAGTGCATCAAAGTTTGGCACTAACGACTGAGCTGTAGCAACTTTCAGTATTGAATTAAGGTGCGCATCAGTAAGTTGAGACCGAAGCCGAGACTTGTTCAAGTTCATCACAGAAAAGAGTTGTTCACAGACATATGTACTTCCGAATATTGACAATCTTTGAGGCAAAACATTTAATCCTGGGATAATTTGTTCCAAAATATTGATCAAATGTGCCAACATCAACACTCGAAAACTTGTTCCTCAACACAGAATCACACTGGAGCTCAATTAATTCTAACTGAAGATGTTCTGGTACCTCATTAACACCAACAGAGAATGGGTCCTGAAAAATTAAAAAAATCCTTCTCAAGTCTTCTAAATTCAGCAAATCTTTCTTGGAACTCATTCATTAATTTGGAAATCTTGATGCAGTAGTTTTTTGTGTCGATATCAGCATGAAACTCAGGTGTGCCTTGCAGGGACTTCAAGGTCTCAAAGTGAGAAAGATTACTCTCTGATAGTTGCCGTTCAAAAAGCTGAAGTTTCATCTCAAAGGCACGAATGCAGTCATAAATCTCTGTCACCAATTTATTGCGTCCTTGCATCTTTGTATTCAAGTAATTTAAGTGTTCTGTAATATCCACCATGAAAGTTAGATCTTGTACCCATTCATTATCTTTCAGTTCATGCAAATCCCTTCCTTTCTGTTCCATAAACATCTGTATTTCACTGCGCAATTCATAAAATCGCTTCAGTACGACTCCCCGACTTAACTAGCGAACATCAGTGTGATATGGCAGTCCGTGTGTGTTCTCATTTTCTTCCAATAAGCAGTTGAACTGTCTGTGGTTCAGACCTTGTGCGCGTATGAAGTTCACTGTCTTTATACAACTAACAACATCCATGACATTATCCATCTTTAATGTTTTACTACACAACACTTCTTTATGCATAATACAATGCACATTATAAATTTGATGGTTCGGGTTCACAGCAATTAGTTTTTCCTTTAATTTTGTTACCACTCCAGCTTTTCTACCATGATGGACTTCTCCCCTACAACTGCCTACAACTGCGTAGCCACAGCCACCACCTGCTACCCCCTTCCCTAGCAACCAACCAGATGTTACCGTATCTTAGCAACGGAACTAGTAACCGGCGACTTTCTCGGGTTTTCCCAACATGACTCACGGCTGCTGGGTATATAAGCTCTGTCTCTCCATTGAGATTCATTCTGACCATTCTTCTTGAACAAACAACACCTCCTCCTCCGCCGCTGCCTGGCAGCCCTCGCTTCTCCTCGCCTGCCTGGCGGTCCTCGCTCCCGCCAGCGAGCATGGCGACCCACCAGCTGTCCTTCTCTGAGCTTCCTCACCAACCAACTCTCATTCTGGCCCATCTTCCTGAACACGCAACACCTCCTCCCAGCAAGCTCCTAGTTGTCCAGCATTCATTCAACCAGGAGGCCAGCAACAGGCAACATCTTCTCTAACGAAGCTCCTGCACATCTACCTCCTTCAACAAGCTACTCACCGAACGTCTCTACCGAGCAGCCCCTCACCACACGGCACCTCCAGCACCAGACTGTCTATCATATAACTTATAATATACAAGAAAACCACATTAGAGTTTCCATCCATCCTGAGTGCTAGACAACATAATATCTCGATACCCCTACAATGGTGACCCGGGTGACATTGTAGGGGTATCGAGATATTAATGTTGTCTAGCACTCAGGATGGAAGGAAACTCTAAGGTGGTTTTCTTGTATAATATAAGTTATATTATAGACAGTCTGGTGCTGGAGGTGTTGCTTGTTCAGGAAGATGGGCAGAATGAGAGTTGGTTGGTGAGGAAACAATGGGCTCTTTCCTTCTGGCAAACGGCGTTTCCGCGAAACGAGGCGAGGAGGGCGCCAGGCAACACCTCCGCCCGCTGCAGTAAGTGTTAATGTCCTCGAATTTTACAAATTTCAATATAGCAAATTTTTCGTTTGTGTGATCTGTTTTTTCAAGTAGGTCATTGTCCGTACAACTCTCTTTTGTGCAGTAACCAGAGATTGTGTTTTTGAAGAGCCAGAGGCCCCCCCCCCATAGTGTGTGACAGTGTATCAGGTGTTGGTAAACAAGATCATGATAGATTTCTTTCATTGCTGTGAGAGTGAGTGACTGTCGAGTGTGATACATGATACCGCACTATTTATTGATTTTACTGTGAATGGCTTGTATGTGGTTTCTTCAGTTAAGTGTCTCATCAACAATAACTCCCAGGAATTTAGTATTTTGTTCGCGTTTGAGGACTATATTACCAAGGTACAGGGGGTTCAAGTCTGGAGGTAAGTTTTTTCTTCTGTGAAAGATCGTGTAGTGGGTTTTCTCAAGGTTTAAGGTCAGTTTATTACGTATTACCCAGGTCCCTACTTAAGTTAATTCAGTGTTCATAGTTCTCATCAAGGAATGGAGGTCTGAGTTGCTGGCATAGAGATTACTAGCGTCTGCAAATAAGTTTTATTTTATGAGTGAGCTGGCGTGGACTATGTCGTTTATGTACAACAAAAACAGTACTGGACCGAGAATTGAACCTTGGGGGACTCCATACAATATTGGCGAGGAGTCAATGAATATGATGTATTTCTTTGTGTACGAACCTCTGTCCTGTATGGCAGTGAACAGTGACATTACCAACATGAATCTGATATATATATATATATATGCTGTATATATGATGTATTTCTTTGTGTATGAAACTCTGTCCTGCGTGGCAGTGAGAAGGGTTCAAGACCTGACTGAATTACTCGGAATAGGCAAACTGCACTCCAGGCTTTGTCAATAAAGTTGTTAAACTAAAAAATATTAAGTACGCTGCACTAGCTGGTGTTGAATTTCATTTGCCAGTTTATGTAGATCATGAACAAGAGTAGGCCCAGTACTGACCCCTGGGGAACCCCACTGGTTACACATTCATGTATTGTACTGGCAAAATACGGTTAATAATCTTATAAGTGGTGAAATTATGCATAACAAATAAAATCATATTGCTTAAAAATGCTTAACAGCCTCAACGACAACTGTTGCAGATTGTACAATCGTCACACAAGTCTCGGGTCAAAACATTGGAATCGCCATACTAAGGGTGTGGCGCTGGAAGACTAGAAGCCCTAACTCTTCTTGAGGCTTTTTAGTTTTCATTATTTAATTTTCCTTAATTATGTTTATTTATTGATTACCAGAGACCAAGATGGAGGGGTTAAAGGCGCTGCTGATGTGGTATATGGCTGCCACCTTCGGCATGATTATGGCGCAATTTGAGTATCATGATAAGGATACTTTTGACCAAATAGAAAATTTGTTCAGCCTCGTCACACCAAGGAACTGCTTCATCAAACCGAAGGTGGGTACAGTATTTATTTGGTAGTATGATTAGAAAAGTTCCAGAACTTTTTAATAACTTTACCAAAAACCTACCCTAAGATTCAAGAAGTTTTGAGGAATTTGTAGGTAAAAAAAAATACTTGTAGTGGATACAGGTATGGCAGCTATATGCCAAAAATCACACTGGGTATAGGTACGGCAACCATATGCGAAATGTTGATGTCTTGGTATGGCAGCTTAATGCCATGTGTGTTAGGCAGGATATACAATGATCATTACGAAGATGGCCTTCTTTCTGACTAACCAATCCAAACTTAACCTGACCTGATCATTAACGGTAATTATTGACGACTACACCACCGCCGATTTTTCAAAGAAAACGAATTTAAAAATGCTGCAATTTCTCTTATTTTATAGTGGACACTCTTAGTTATGGTAAATGTGTTAAAAAGTATTTATTTAAAATTTCACTCTAACCTAACCTAATCTTACCTTACCTAAACCTAATCTAACCTAACCTTACTAATTTAACCTAACCCCTCCAAAAAATAATTTCATATCAGAACTCGCTGATGAAAATATAATGAGAATATAAACATCAAAACAAATAACACATCGGCGGTGTTGTTAATATTAGCCCCATTAACAAAAAATGTCAATTTATAGTCTTACATTGGTCTTTCTCCCGCTGTTATTAATATGTAATGTTTAGACAATTCTAAGACTTTTTCTTTGATATTTCCGCCGGAAATTAAGGATAACCGAGATATTAATTTTTCAATATTATTAGATTTTCTCAGTCACAAGTGTTTGCCATGAGAAAGACAAGTGTAAACTACAGTATAAACTCACCATAACTAAATCTTTCAATACGGCTGCCGTACCTATATCCATTGTGATTGGCGCATGGCAGCCATACCTGTAACCACTAAGAAAAAGGGGTAAAAGTGGATAAAAGTGTACAACAGGGGCACTATTAAATATTTTTTTTTAGAATAATGGTGATAGAACATTTGATTCTTGGGTAAAATTTGACTCTAGTTTTTGCAGCAGAACTCTTATTTACCTCATGGCCACTCACTATAGGTGTCCATGGCAAGGGAAGAAGGCCAGTGGCCTGTGTAGGATCCCTCTGTTGTTCTTGATAATATTGTCAAGGGCTATTTTGAAGCCCAGTACTTTCCTTGGGTCTATCATCCTCTGCATGAAAAAGTATTTCCTTATACAGGTATGCATTCTCCATGATAACTTGGCTAGCTTATAGTTAAGCCCCCTCGTGTTGGTGGTGATTGACATCACAAATAAATGTACTTATTACTACCATGCTATTGTACTATTCCAGATGATACTAAATATTACATAATACTTCCTTGAGATAAATGTACAGTATATATCAGGTGCCTCAAAGAGAGCTCAGGTTCTCAAATGGCTCAGCCATGTTCATATTGTTAGTATTATCCACTCTGTATCTGTATTTTTCTGGCTAAATAAAATGTTTCAATCAATCAAACCTATTGTGCCTTGGCCTAAGGCCCTCAAGTCAACTTGGATAATCGAGATGACATAGTTCTGGAATCATCCTAGTCACTATGTGTTTCACTTTTCTCGGGTTTATATGCCTGTGTATACAGTGTTCCAGACTGGGACATACTTGAGATTTATACTGTTGAAGGAGCATTTTTCTATCTTTATATTCAAAGGTTCAGTACGCTTTATAATTCCCAAATCTCGATTTAATGTTTTCGTTGTTGCCTCCACTTGTTGTACTGCCTTCATTGAATGATCTAACGCAATGTCAGATCTTTCTCCTTATCGACAGTGTCCAGGAAAGTGCTATTAAAAGAATAGTTGTGCGAGTCTTGAGACCATTTGAACAGCTCATTCGGGTCTTCCTGCATTGTTGTGATAGGGCTTCACTTGCTACCTTCCCAGATACAGTACTGTACTGTATCTTCATACCGTTTGAAAACTTGACAATGTGGCTCTATATATTTTCATCTGTTATTTATGTAGATCACAAACAAGGTGGGTCCAAGGATAAAGCCTTGTGGTGATGGTCAGTGATAGTCGAAAGGGTCAGTGTGTTGAGCGCTTCTTGATATATGGAGTAGGAAGGGGAGAGAATAATCTTGCATGCTCTCTTTTGCACTTTTTCTAGGTGTTTACGTTGTGTGGCATTTAGGGAGGAAGACCAGGTGGGGGAAGCATAGGTGAGCTTGGGAAGTATGAATGTTGAGTAAACACTGAGGAGCTCGGGTTCAGGAACTCCGAGGGACTTGAGTCGGCGGAGGAGAAGGAGACAGAAACTGGAGGGCTTGACAACTTCACTGACGTGTGGTTTCCAATTTAGTTTGTTGTCTATGGTGACGCCGAGGAGCTTAGTGAAATCTACAACCTGGAGTGTGTTGGGACCTAAAGTAATGGCAGGGGGTGGGACAGTGTCGGAAGAGAGGTTGATGTGTGTAACCATGGTCTTGGTATGGTTGATGGTGACATGGTTGTTGGTGGCCCAGTTTTGGAGACTATTCAATAAATCCTGAAGGGCAGTATAGTCGGGAGCAAAATTGTTGACGCTGATCCCAATAGTGGATTTGCAGCGAGCAGGGGTTTCTCTTAGGGCATCATTGATAAGCATAAGGAAGCAGAGTGGTCCCATCTTGGTGCCTTGGGGGACGCCACAGGTGAGTGACTGAAAGGTGGAGACAGCCCCTCGGAAGCGTACAGCATGGCGTCGGTCACTGAGGAAGTCTCTAAGCCATGGTATAAGACTTCTCCGAAGCCTGAGGTCAATAGCTTTGTTGTGTGTGTGTGTGAAGAAAGTGGTGTGAGGGGAATATATATTTTTTTATTTATATATTTTATTTTTTAATCCTAACAGTTCTATGTTCTTAACCTGTTGGTGAGAAACGTTTTCTCTACTATAAAGTTTTTTGAGAAATATAAAATTTATCCATGAAAACTGTATCAAATATTACCAATACTTGGGTGGGTAAT